TACTTTTAAAGATTTATTTTGGGGCATTTTGTGCCTTTATTTGAGAGCTAGGACAGTGGATAGAGTCAGAAATCAGGGAGAGAGTAGGGAATGACATGCGGGAAAGGAGCCACAGGTCGGATTTGAACCTGGGCCGCCTGCTTGGAGAACCACAGCCTCCATACATGGCGCGCGCACACTAACCACTGCGCCACCAGCGCCCAAAACTTAAGACTTTTAGAGCCAAAAAAAATGTGCAGCGTTGGTTCTTTTCATAATTAATGTTGGTCTGAAAGGTTTTTTATTTTGCCTTGTTTTTTTGCATATCTTGCAAGACCCGCAAAATTATTCTTTGCCACTGCCAACCATTCTCTTTGTTTTTCATCCTGAAGACACATTTTCTTGAAACTACATTTCCTCTTCTTCTTCTTCTTCTTCTTCTTCTTCTTCTCATGTGTTACGCTGCTGTAAATGCTTCAAATCATCATGTGAACAAGAAAATCCACAAAAAATAAATATTGATCATTTAGCAATAACTACACAGTGCAGATTTCATTAAATATTCAGGCACCTTTCAGTCCAAGCGCACATCTCAAATTAAAGACCTTTGACAAGTAAAGAGAAGACTTTTTAAGAATCTAATTGAAGAGTTTTTAAGTATCTGCAGGATCCCTGGCACTTCTAAGCAGCTCTCATGTATCTTAGTATGAGAGTGTACCATGTTTGACTGTGAGGTTTTAACTGTATGGATGTGCTTGGGGTTCTTCTCAGGGAGACGTCGTCCTGCAGAGCGACCACGTGATCGAGACCTTGACCAAGATAGCGATCTGTGCCGACAAAATGAACAGCATCAACATCAACCAGGGCAGGTGAGGAGCACAAACCTGCGTCACTGTGCCTGCCGATGTTAAAGGCATTAAAAAGTGAAAAGATGTCTAACTGTCCCTGTGTGTGTCTGCAGTATAAAGTTCACAGGGGGTCAGGGGAAGGAGGGGATCATAGACTTCACACCTGGATCAGAACTACTGGTGGCCAAGGCTAAGAATGGACACCTGTCTGTGGTGAGTGGATAACTATCCTCAGTCTCATTCAGTCCTGTTCCAAAGTCTCTATTGTGACCTCTGACGTGACCTTTCCTTCCAGACGGCTCCCAGACTCAACTCCAGATGATTGCTGCTCTGACCACACCAGGACCTTTGACCTCCTGACCTCCCATCCTCCAATCACACGACTTCGGACCCCCGCTCTGCCTAAGCATAAGTGCTTCCAATTAAAAAAAAAGAAAAGAAAAAAAGAAAAGGAATAAAAATCAAGCAAAACTAATTGATATATTTATGTTTATATATATTATATTTTTGGGATTAATACTTTTGCTGTTTGAATATTCTGATTTTATATATGAGGCCAAGGAATAACAAATATTTTTGTGCATTTTTCTTGCACCATGTGTGTTTAATTGTGCTTTATTTGGGAACATGACCAAGACAATGATGAGGGAAGAGTGGGAATAAGAGACAACCATGTTGCAGAAGTGTTGTCGAAGAAAATCAGGGTTAGTTGTTGTTGCCTCTTGTTTTCCTGTTTACTTCTTCTGCTTGACTCGTAGGCTTGGTAACTGTCTGGCTGACACTATTTACAGGGTTGGATTGGTTGTTATAAGAGCATAGAGGTGTGTAGAAAAAGGCTGACTGTGTGTATTGGCTGTTGAGAGGTTCAACGATGAGGATGATTTAAATGTTTTCTATCAAATGGAGAGGCTTCTGCACGCTGAAGGCCGGTCAGGTCAGATGGTGTTTCATTGAATCAGAGTGAAGCTGGGTTCAGCTCTGGGTATATTTAAAGAATCAATCAATACAGAGTTTTGATACAAAAGGAAGCGTGTCAGGAGGATTTGCTTCAAAGAAATAAATGGAAAACATCGTAAATGCTGCAAAAGGAACAAAGTATGTGAGCAGTGGTCGAGAAAAGTGAAAAGGAAGATGATAGGCAGCTGCGTGCCTTTCTCCTTGACTAATTTATTTATAATTAGTATAAAGAGCTGTATATTGATATATGAAAAAAACATGACACTCTGCACCGGAATGAGTTAAGTGTAGATAGAAACCGTCATCCTCTGACTGATTTTTTGTTTTATTTCAACTCTGTAACCGTCGTCTTTCACTCATCAACATTTCCTACATTACTCCACCTCTCCTCACTTCTTTTGTCTTCTAGCCTCTTCCCTTAGCTGCCTCTCTCTCTCTCTCTCTCTGACTGAACTGGTCTGATGGCCTGACTAGGGTTTGAACTGCTACCAGAATATGTAGCATTTCCTGCCAATTTTCTTTTCTAGTTGTATAAATGGATAGAAATCTTGAATCTATCGGTGTTTAAAATATGAGGAATGTTTGTGTTTAGTCGACTAAACTCCATCAGCTTCGCTAGTCGGCACCAGAATTACAGATTTAGTCTGTTAAAAACATTATTAATACTTTTACATGTTGGTCAAATGTTATGCTCAAGCTGTAACACAGCTCCCTGCCACTAGTCGGTGCTCTGTAACTCTGTTTAATGGGCCTGCTCTTCTTGCTCTACTACCCGGATGTTAACAAGCACAGTGAGCAGATAGCATCTCTTTGATAGTATTTTGATCTAAAAAAAAATTTGACAATTTTGACTGTTTTCTTTTTTATTTTAAGACTAAGACGGTTCAACAGAATTTAAATCTTTGCTAAACAGACGAGGGAACTAGCCTAGAAACATTCCTAGTTTGAAACATTCAGAACCCTTTTTGAGGGTAAAACTCACCAATTAAAGCCTTATCACTGAACTTCTTCTACTTCAGAGATCCTAACATTGCACTCTGATATTGACAGATATTGATATTAACATGTCTCCCAAAGGGTCAGAGTATATCTATGAAAAATATAACTTTTTTAACAAGTCAAACATCAAGAAAATGTTGAGCTAAAAGCTTCAATGTCAAACGCAAACACGATTTAGCTTACTACACTGCAAAAACTCAAATCTTAGAAAGTTCATTTGTTTTATTTCTAATGAAAAAATGCCAAAAGGGCAAGAATTTTACTTAATTGTTTTGACGTTAGGTGTCTAAGTTAGTTAGTTCGCCTCATTTCAAAACACTGAACAAGTCGTTCAAAATCAGTGCGACTCAAACAATTGAGATGAAATTGTTGAGTGCACGCCTGGTGTAAGATAAATGGGGAAAGCAGTGAATAAACAGACACAATCTGTTTGCCTCTTTTTCCCTGTCTGTGTGCTAGGCTAAGCTAATAATCTCCTCGCTCTATCGCCTTCTATTTAATTTAAATGAATAGAAATGTGTCATCTGAACCTCAGCGCAAAAGCTCGTTAATGCATTCTGCAAAAAATCAACTTCAACCTTCAGTGCTTCTAAAAAACACATTCTTAAGGACTTGAGTCGTGTAAAACTTTAGGAAAGTTTCATTAACGTCAGAAAAAATTTAAATATGTTTTATTATTACAGAAAGATGGCCCCAGTCAGGTTTAAAGCCACATCAAGACCAGTTCTGCATCACACATCTCTCTGTCTAATACTGACCAAAGACTGATCCGAAGACTTACTCCAAAATGTTTCTTGTTTCCTTCTTTTTTCTTCCCTCCAGACCTCGCTCAATGGTGGATCTTTATTTTCCTCTGCCAAAGACTGGTGCAATAAGCCGAGGCAGGACTGTGCTACTGCACACTAAACAAACTAGCCAAAGACCATGTTGATTTATCCTGATTTTATTGTTTTTGTCTAATGAGTTCTACGATATTACTCTGCCAGTTCTGAATGATTGTTTTTGTTCAGAAGGGAGATCTTTATGTACAGTTTGTGTTCTGTGTTATGAATGAGAGATTCAAGCCAAGTGACGGCTTGAAGATGTGAAACATTCGAGGAGGAAATGCTTCTGTCGTTGTTCGTTAACGGAAAAAAAACATGTTCATGTGCCTTGTTGGATACGACAGATGTAGTGTGAGAGTTCAAGAGAAATACCTCCCTGATAGAGTCTTTGTGGCCATTTCTAAAGTTTCCCATCAGCACCTAAAAGCCTCATCCCTCCGTGTGTATAAGCTTTATTCAAACCAAATCCTCCAAAGGTTGTCTTTAGATTTACAGATGCACTCCTGTTATTGGTCCTGACTTTACTGTATGCACCACACCGATGTATAATTATGCCAACACACTAAGAGAAAAGATACTAAAGATTTGAAAAATAAATTTGAAAAATTCAAAACAAAACGAGACCTCGCTGTTTGTGATTTATGTTTTCTTTCTGTTTCAGCTGTGAGTTTGTGTTTTGTTTGAAAAATCTGGAATCTTTTTAATTTTAGTTTGGAGTGGGAAATGGGTCATTTATTGATAATGCTGCCAATGTAGAAAAACTCTGAACTGGATTGAAAACAGACCGTTTCTATGTGGATGTATGAAATGTATTTGCAGTGATATAACTTAAAAGAGACAGAAAAGTCAGCACACTAAATGTCCCTCAAGTTTCTTTTATCTGGGTAAGAGCAGTGTACAAAACAACAACGGACGCGTTTCAGCACTAGGCCTTCATCAGCAGTGATACAACTATGCAAGGGTAATCAGAAGGCTATACTTTATTAAACTAAAAACTTTAAAGTTCCTGTGAGGAGCTTTTGGACAATGCACCAATTTCTCTTAGAAATCTCATCCTGCTTTGTTTTAACAGTAAAATATATCACTAAAAATCTACCAGTTACTGTGTAAAATGTAAAAAAAAGTCTATTTAAATAGCATGCAGTTTATCGCTTTGTGTAACACCTTCCCTCTGCCAGCGATTTCAAACATCAACACAACTTTTCCACCTTAAAATATTAGTTTTAAAGTGGGTCTAACTGTAGGTCTATCATAACTTTCAACATGGAGAACAGCATTACTCCGATTGTCCACAGAGCGCCCCGGTCGCCTGTTTTGAGCACTATGTAACTTTGGCTGGTGTGAGAAGTGTATACAGCTTTACGGCTCTACAGTAGTTCACACAGCAGCCTTCAGCTACAAAGCAGCCAGTTAGCACGTCTCTTACTGTTTGATACGATGACTGAGGCTAAGAGACAGAAGACGACAGCGACTGATGGAGCTAAGAAGAGAAAAAGAGAGAGTGACCGAGCAAGAAGCCGGACTAGAGGAGATACTGGACCTCGACTTTCGACATGTTTCTTTGGCTTCTCACAACATCTTTAGGGAGTTAACAGCGATGTGTTCTTTGAGAACTTCTGTGGGTAAAGTGCACCAAAACAAATTCCTTAACATTGGTTCTGTAAAGTGTACTATGTATAAGTCAACCTTAATGCTGATGACTGTGTTATCTTTTGTAGGTCATAAAGAGGCATCAGTGTTAAATTCTGTTTGTTTCATAACCAGCTGAAATCTCCTCACAGGGCCTTTAACTTTAACAAACTTTGTGAAACAATGGCTCTCAGTATTTGAACACTAGGTGGGGTGAGTGAGCCGATCTTTTTATTTGTCTTTAGCATTGTTCTCTGTATCACATATATTTAGTAAAATATGTATTAGGCTACATCTGCACATATTGGAATAAGATTAAAGATGCTTTATTTTTGTGATAGGTCTATATCAGTCTGATGTCACACTCAGTTTAACCTTTTCTTTGTGTGTTGCTCTCAGACGCTGCTGGTATGTTGCCTCTATCCTTCTATTGTTCTTGAGTAGGCCTACATAATAACCTCAGGTTTAGTCTTTGGGTCAACGCTCAACAGCAAACAACAGTTTGTTTTCAACTGTCTAAATAAGTAAGAGTAGTTAAGGCACAAGCACACAGACTATTCATGAGATGAATTAAGCAAAAAAAAAACTTTTTGCAAAGTTGACCAAAGCCCGTTTTCAAATAAATGCAGTGTTGCTCAAAGTCTGCTGGAACTGTTATGAGCCTACCATGTTATTGTAATTTTAAGAAAATGATATATTTCGGTTGATGTGTTTGAGTCCTCTTCTCTATCTGTTGCAGTCTTGTATTCAGAATGAAGTAGACACTGACTGTCCTGCTCAGAAGCAGCCACTAGGTGTCGCCCTCGGTGTGAAAATCCAAGCAGCGGTTTTTGTTTTCAGCTGCAGCTGAACCCTCCTCTCCTGGACTTCAAGGAGCACAAATGTTTAGGCATGGACTTGGAGGTAAACAGTGAGTCATCACATATGCTGAGGGCAGGAGTTCTATCCTATATGTAGCCCTCTGTAGGCGCGGCTGGAAAGTTTAAACATAAGCCCTGTACATTTGTGACAAAGAGACCAACAGAGTTGAAGCTTGTTCACACATTTTCACTTCAGTGAGACTTTTCTGAGTCTTTGTCTCATAACACGTTGGATTCAGGATTAGAGTATTTGGACGACCTCTAATGTTTGGGTTGTAATTATTAAAGCTTGAACTAACATGTTCTTTTCCTAGTATCCTTTTATCTTAATTACTGTCAATGTATTTGAATAGTGAATTCAAAAGAATGCTACTTTCAAGTTACAAAGTTGTATATGTTGTATTGCCATGTATTTCAGCTCTTAAAGGTCACACTGAGTGTTGTTCTGTGTTGTCTTATTGATGAATCTTCTGATTGGCCCATTTCATAGAAAACATGTCCATTACATCTTTATCAACACATTTACAGTCGGTGTCCGAGAAAACCTGAGAAAGCTGTTTTCCCGACAAAATGTTTAGTATTGAGAAACATCACACATGTAATATGATTGCCGCGCTCTGATTGGCTTCTGTATGTCTCTAGCTCAGCCGTCAACCAATAGGGAGGCAGTGTTGTTTTTGTACACTGCTGCCGAGCTGCTATAAAGCTGCAGCAATGAGCAATGATGAGAAGTGAAATAGTGATTGAAAGAAACCAACGTGAGAATCTCCACCGGTGCTTTGAGTGTTTGTCGTCGGGGGACATTCGGACGTGCAGACGCGGATCCGACAGAGAACAGAGCCGGTCTTGTTTTGTGCCCTGAATCCAGGACTCAGGTAGGATGTCCGCACCAAGGATGCTCCATGCAGTTCACCTTACTGAAGGAGAAGCAGACTCATGTTTGGACATACTCAAATGAATCAGTATTTTCTCATGACACAGGCATCATGTAGGGACTCTTCTCTGTTAGTGTTTAATGGCTGCAGAAGCTTCAACTTAAAGACTTATCAGTGTTTTTATCCACTCAGTCATTTCCTCTCCTCCTCTTACTGTGTTGATCCTGGTTATTGACACATTGATGATAAGGTTAAAGCAGATAAAGTTCACAGTTTCTTTCATTGTCATCATGATGACAAACACCATTTTCTGTTTCCTTGTTCTGCACGATGACGGTTAAAAGTTATGATTTAATTTGTGACATTAAATAAAAAATGTCACAGAGACATGATGTGGGGCAGCAGATTAAAAGTCGAGCCTTTCGGTTCTGCTGTTCTTTCTTGTTGCCAGCTGTTCTTTCTTGTTAACTGTCTTTGTTTCAGAGCTGATGATGATAATTCCCCTTACTGTTGTTGATACTGAACAGCTGAGCGCTTCTAGTTTAGATGCGTAAAGTTACCGATCAACACCCCGCACATTTCCGGGTAAAGTGCAGATATTTACTTCAAGTTAAAAGCACTGATTTATTGACAAACTTGTTAATAAAAGTAAGATTAACAAATAAACAAAAACAATGAGCAGTAAACATACAATCATCAACCAACATCACAAACAAACACAAGTAGGCTAAGCAATGTTTGAAAACACATTCGGTCTTATTAACTTTTAAGGCTGTATTTCTTTGTTTTTCTCTCATGTGTTGTTCAATTAAGACAATATTAAACTTACTATTTTATGTGTTGGTGGAATGTGTAGGCCCGCTTCATGTAGGCTTTTTTTTACCAGGCATATCCACACTATTCTGTGTTAAACTGGTAAACTGCCTTTATAGATTATAACTAACTGCACAGCACATCTTATATTGTCTCGTAAAGTGCAGCTTACTCCCTTGTAAATCAGCTTTGGGCCAAGCTCATATTTTATTTTTTATCTTTTTCTTTTCTATTCATCTTCCTTTTATCATTCTTTGTCTGGGCTACTTTCTATTTTTGACTTTCTTTCTTGCAGGGATCAATAATAGTATTATCTTGTTGTTTCTTATTCTATCTATTTTACAGTGTGTCGTCTATTGTTTTACCTAATCTGTGTTTTTTGTGTTTTGTGGTGGTAAAAAATTAAAAATATTCGCCCTACAGCTTAAGGTAGCTAGAATCGAGCCTTTATCGTGATCATAATACCTTAAAACCAGAAACGTTCGCTTGGCTCTTATTTTGAAAGTGACAACCGGAACACTGGGGTTTTGTTGACGCTAACTGGACGCTTTGCTGGGAGGAGATTGGAGATGCAGATTGGGGAAGGTGGAGGGGGGGGGGGGGGGTGTATTGTGCGGATGATTCCAGTCCAGTTCAGACCAGTTCTCTCTCTGCTCTTCATTCACAGCAGATATGATGATGACTTTGTTCTCACAACGATGAAGAAGCTGCGACCAAAACAAAAACATTACAGAGAAGAAGTGCTGAACTGTGGAGCCTATTTCATCGTTTTATTCTTTCAGTCTTTTTTGTCCTCGATGTTGAGGGAGATGAGTGACATGAAGTTGCACTCAAGACAAAACATTTGATCATTCAGAGAAGTAGGACAGCGTGGTAACAGTTTAAAACACTTGTAGGATACGAGGAAACACAAAGGAAGTGAATAAAGACGCCTGAGGGTGCATAGCTTCTTTACATGGTTCAACACAGGTTATGTTTGCATCCTTACATTCCTCGAGAGCAAAGCTTGTTGTTTCTTAACTTTTGAATATTACACGCTCTTATTTAAGACACAAAACACGTTATTGTCATTATATGCAATAAAACGAATATTGTCAATTTGTCAGAATAACTAACATTATTACTAGTTCACGTTCTTTTAATTATTTCTTTGTTCTTACATTCATTTGTCATTTGTCATTTATTTCAAGGATAGCCCCTTGAGATGCATCATCTCATTTTCAAGGGGGTCCTTACAAAACATAAATTAATCATCATATTACAAAATCTAAATAAAAGGTAAATCCAAAACATAATATCAAATATTTAAACACAGAGACACTCACACCACAAACACACACCCACTTAATGCTCCCCCATTACCCTTCATTGTAAATCCAAACAGGCCTAACTACTGTATAAAACACGAGCACGAGCGTAGGTAAAGACATCGAGTCTCGCGCCGCA